GCCTGGAGGAGGACTTGTGGGTATAGGGAGAAGCCAGAGGTCTCCCCAAAACCTGCATCAGTGTTTCTGATTGTACTTTGTTTTGTTTTGTTCCTGGACACTAGAAATCAAACTCAAGGCCTTGCACTTGCCAGGCAGGCGCTGTGCTGCTGAGCTATGTCCCTGGCCCCCTCTGGTTATACTTTGAAGAAGGGGTTGGTTGGACCAGAAAGCATCCTGGTCAGCACTCCGTGGAAGTGGAGTTCTGGGAAGGGCGGGAGCAGATGCCCAGCTAGAGAGGCTGGACAGGACTCTGCTCTTGGCTCAGCCAGCTCCCTGTGCAGCCTGAGCACAGTGCCTCTGTTTCGGCTTGTGTCTAGAGGTCCCTAAAGCCTCATTCACTCTTAGGGGCTTTTTTTTTTTTTTTAATATAATAAACAATTGATTTAAGGAACTAAAAAATAAATACCATTTTAACAGGGGTTATTTTTTAATGTGAATATGATGTTGCGTTTCCTTACAAAACAGCTGCTTGTCACCCTTTAGTTACCTGCTCAGCCCGAACTGGGCGCCCAGGTCTCATCAGGCGCGTCTCTATAATGTCCACATTAGTGCTATGTTAGCAAAATGATTTGCGATGGAAAACAAAAAACTCAGTAACACTTATCCTTAAGTACTATTATTGTAAAGTTATGGGGAGAGAAAAGATATGGACATTAATTTCACCAGAATAGAAAAAACTTCCTCACTTCATCTTGGACAAGGAAAAAAAGAAAACAAAAGTGGGAGACACCAGCCTCTCAGGGCTGCATTCCCGTAGAACCAGCGTGGATTGAAAACAGCTTTAGTTTGGAGCCAAGGGGTAATTTTGCCCCTCACAGCGCCCTGAGGTCACTGGCCCTGCCTCACTTTCAGGTCCAGCCTCTCCTCTTCCTCCATTCCAGCCGCCAGACTGAGCTCAGTGGGGTTTTCAGAACTGGCTGGATCTCGGGTGTGTGAATGTGGATTAAGGGTGTGTGATAACTGATCGGTGTAGCACAGTTCTGGGTGTGGGCAGTGGGAAGACCCACGCTGCGTGTGGGTGGCACCAGCCAGTAGTCCTGGAGCCTGGATGGGGTAAAAGGGAAAGGAAGGCTCGATGCTGCTGCTTCCTGCCCGCCCTGCTGTGGACTGTTTCTGCTCTGCCTGCCCCACGCCTTGGAGCCAGCCAACTATGGACTGAAACCTGTGTAAACTGTGGGCCAAATAAGCCTTTGTGGGTGTCGGGTATTTTGTCCTAGCAATGAAAAAGTAACTAAGTCAGCCTTATAGTGTGTTTAGTGGGCAAAGAGACTTGGGGAAGCTCTTTGAAAGGGTCCCTGTGGGATCTACACAAAAGTGTCGCCTGTTACTCCCTCAAGATGGACACTGTAGGGAGACCCTGTCTCAAAAAAAGAAAAAAGATGGACACTGCATGGTAGCAACTGGAAGGCCCAGGAGCACAGCAGGAAAGAGACCGAGACTCGGTTCCGGCCTTTCCTATACAGCGCATCAGGGCTGTCCCTCCTTCATCCCCTTCTGTGCGTAGGTGGCTTTGGTTTTGCTTTTGCTCTGCTTTGGGTCCTACTTGTCTGTAGAGGGCCACCCGTTGGCCATGGGCTGTTACAGAAACTAGGCTGGTGCTGCCAAGTCCTGGAATCCTGAGCAGGTTTCCCAGGGTTTGACTGTATTTGACAAAAACATGGACGAGAAGGAAGTACTTCCACGCGGGAGGAGATCGTGGAACTCCGACTAAAACCTGTCCAGTTTGCTTCTAGCCCATAAGGTTGAGTGTCTCTTCGCTCCCCTACCCACGGTGCCTCGTCAGACTGTGGGAAGTGGCCGTTGCAGCCCTTCCCACCTTTTCCTGAGTACACAGCACAGTAAAGCAGGCTGTGTGGCAGCCCTGTGGTTAGTTCTGCGTGGACCATGCCAGGACAGTGGTGACCGTGTCACCCCAGCAAGACAGTCTGTCACAGCCCTGCCCCAGTGGCCCCCAAAGCCACCCCACTGGCCAGTGCCTGGTCGCAAGGGTTGCTGGGAACCCCGGCCACAGTGAGGAATGGGTGTCAGCGACAGGAGAAGGGTTTCGATTAAGGGGCTGGTTTCTCCTGAGGAAATAAAAAGACCAGGCTGGTTTGGTTCTCTTTCTTCTTACCTTCTTTTCCACCCTCCCTTCTCCCCTCCCCTTCCCTCCCCATTCTTCTTGAACTGAGGATTGAACCCGAGGCATTCCCATTAAATTACGTCCGCAGCCCTTTTTTATTTTTGAGACAGTTGCCTAGGCTGGGCCCAAACTTGTAATCCTCCTGCCTCAGCCTCCTAAAGTGCTGAGATTACAGATGTGCGGCACCACGGCTGGCACTGGTTTTATTTTCTTTTGCTCCTGAGAATCACCGCTTCTCCAGGCATCCAGCTGCTGGCAGACCTTGCACAGGCGAGGAAGGAGGCTTGGCTTTGTCCACGGCGGAAGCTGATGGCCTCTGGTGCTCTCTGTCCAGTTACCCTGGGTTTCCACACCCTGACCAGGTCCCACTCAGGCCTGCTCGGCACTGTCACCAGCCAGGAGAAGGAGCAGCCTGGGCCTTGCCCGCCCTACCTGCAGCTCAAATGTTACTTCTGCAGAAGTCCTCAGAGGCGGCTCCCGTGGGTTGTTACCGCAGGCCCTTACCCACTTCTCTGCCCTCAATCCACAGCCCCTGCCTGTGCATTCACCTTGCCCTAATGCACACAGCAGATGCTGATACCTGCTCAGGGGTCACCAAGAAGCAGTTAGAAGCCTGTGGCACCCCAGGGCTCCCACTTGTGGCAGGGTGGCCTTTGCCAGCACCTGTCTGGTCTGTGACCAAGGAGGACGCCAGGTGTGTGCAGGAGATCCTGCCGAAGGACTGCTCAAGCCAGGAGGGTTTGTCACAGAGCACACTTTCAGGGGCTGAGGATTTAGCTCAGCAGCACAGCACCTGCCTGGCAAGCACAAAGTCATGAGTTCGATTCCCGGTACCGGGGGGAAAAAAAAAAAAAATGACAAAGCACATTTTCAGGAATAACTTAGGCCTGGTCAGTGACATGGTAATTAGAATTTTTTTATATTTTGCCTTAGGTTTGCCAGGCTCTGTGGGTGTGTGTGTGAATATTTGTGCATTGCATACACACACACTCATTTGGTCCTTATTAAGACACCCTGAACGTGGCAGCATTGTGACTTTACCCAGGCACAACAGTGCCTGACAGAGGTGCCCTGGGGGTGTCACGAGTGGGGCGCTCCAACCTCGAAGATGTAGCTGTTGGGGGGGGGGGCTGGCCTGGAGGTGGCCGAGGGTGGCGATGGAAGCAAGCAGGAGTGTGACTCCTCCAAGGTTTCTGACCATGTAGGCGGAAGCTGCTGCAGTTGTGTGTCCCCACACATCAGGAGGTGCCTTGTGACCTCTCTCATAGTGGTGATGGAGGTGGCAGTGGAGTCACAGCTGTTTGGACAACATAATCCAGAGCCCAGGCTCCTTGCTGGCTTGGGTCAGGAGAGCAGGTTTTGCCAGGTGTTTTCCAGCCAAGCTTCAGACCCTCTCACTGTTCACTGCTTGGGGACGCCCGCGGTTTTCTGTGGCGCATCTCTGCCTGCCGTTGGCCTCCCTAGTAGGTTTGGAGAAGAGGCAGGTGATAGCCTGCCAAGACGTGAGACCTCTACTTCCCCTTTGATAGGGACTAAAGACAGTGCTGTGGCCGAGCATGGACGTGCACGCCTATGGTCCCAGCAGTCTGGGAGACTGAGGCAGGAGAGTTGAAAGTTCAACCCTAGTCTGGGCAGCTAAGCAGGACTGCCTCAAAACAAAAAATTCAAAAGGGCTAGAGTATAGCTCAGCGTAAAAGTCTTGAGTTCAGTACCTGGTAGTGCAAAAATGAAACGACAAGCGAAAACCTAGTTCCTTGCCCCTCTCAAACGTCTGGAAAACAGGGACCCTTCAGCCAGCTTCTCAGGGGTGGATCCCAGCACAGCACCTGGAAAATGAGCCTTCCAGGAACTGCCAGGGAGCCTGGGCTGCCAGAGCTAGGAAGCATTCTCGAGTGAGCCCCTGGGTGGCAGGAGACCCCAGGGCCCTCCCCGTGCCGTGGCACGCGGGTCACTGTGCACAGTGGTGGAGAGCGCTGTCCCCAAGGAGCCGGCAGCAGCCCAGGAGTGAGGAGGCTTGGAGCAGGAGGGGCCGCTGGGGCCTGCTGAGCCCTGCTGTCAGTACCAACCCCCACCTCGCCCACAGTACTGGGGATCAGACCAGGCACTCTACCCCGGAGCTACACCCACAGCCCTTCCTAGTTTTGATGTGAGACAGGGTGACTGCCCAGGTTGGTTTGCGACTGCTGACCCTCCTGGCTCAGCCTCTGCAATAGCTAGGGTCGCGGGTATGCACCCTGTGCCTGGGTGCCTTGTGCTTCCGCCGAGTAAATTAGAAGCGCTTGCGTGCCAGGCTCCCTCGAGCACAGCCCTCTGGCGCCTTCGGGTTTCCAGCTGCCACTCTAGGGCCGCTCTGAGCAGTGGCAGGGCATCGCCTTCCTGGTTGGCTTGAGATAGCAGCCTCCTTCTCATCTGGTGGATGGCAGATTTCTTTTGAATGTTTAATTATGGAAACTTTAAAAGCTAGGTGAGCCAGGTGTGGTGGCACATGCCTATAATCCCAGCTCTTGGGAGGCTGAGGCAGGAGGATCGTTGAGAGTTTGAGACCAGCATGGGCTACAAAGTGAGCTCAAGGCCTTCCTGAACTGCTAGCGAGATCCTGTCTCAAAAAGATAAAAAATAAAAAGCTAGGCAAGAGTAGCCTGGAGTCTAGGACCTGCGCAAGGCAGCATCTCCGCCCTGCCTGCCCCTGCCCCTGTGCTGAGGAGACCTGAGCACTAGTGATGTGTCTCTGTCCAGCTTTGCCTGTGGCTGGTGAGGGGTCGACAGGTCAAGAGCTCTAATTCCACTTCATTTTCCAGAGAAGCACGAACCTCACCGAATCTGTCTTGTCTTCTAGTGGGAAGTTGGTGTCGCCCAAGTGGAAGAATTTCAAGGGCCTGAAGCTGCAGTGGAGGGACAAGATCCGGCTCAACAACGCCATCTGGCGGGCGTGGTACATGCAGTGTAAGCTCCGGCCTGCTGCTAGCCCAGAGGTTGGGAGTCCCAGCTCTGGCCCTGGGGGCCTGAGCCCCCTCAGGACAAGCTATTGCCATATCCCAGGGACCTGGATCTTCTTGGCCCCCGGCACAGAGCCCACAGTGAGGAGGGACAGCACAGAGGCTGCTCCCAGGGAGCGCTCAGTAGTGCTGGGTGCCGGAGCAATAAGGCAGGGTCCCCCGGGTGAGGTGGGCCTGGAGCCAAGGTGCCGCCTGCGAAGAGCTGGGAGGAGCTCCAGCCACAGCGGGTCTGGGATGCGGCTCGCTGTGTCCTGTGCTCAGCCGGCTTGGATGGGGGAAGCTAGGCCTTGACTGGAGTGGAGCAGGCCCCCGTAAGCAGCTGCCCTGCTAGCGCAGCCGTTTGCCCAGGTGCCTCTGCTCCCCTGAGCCCTCTGACCTTTGGGAAGAAGAAGACACCTGGAGGCTGCCCTGGGGGAGGGCTGTGGACCAGTCGGGCAGGGCTCTCGGCAGTGATGATATCTCTTCTCTCCCCAGATCTGGAGAAGCGCAAGAACCCTGTGTGCCACTTTGTCACCCCACTGGACGGCTCTGTGGAAGTAGACGAGCACCGCCGACCGGAGGTACTTGGCGCGCAGTCACGGGGGCCGTGAGGCGGCTGCGCCGAGTGGCCAGCTGAGTGACCCTGAGAAGGGACAGGTGGCTGCAGACGTCCCTCTTCTCAGGCCAGCCAACCCAACGGAGCCTCGTCCTCTCCTTCCTCTGCTTTTGTTCTGGTCCTGGGGGTCAGTCCCGGGGTCTGGTGCACGCCAGACAGTAAGCACGCTGCCCTCAGTGATGTCCCGGCCCCTCAGCCCTTGCTTGAAGTGGGTCTGCCTTCTGGGGCCGTCCAGAGGCAGTCTGGCTCCTTGTAAGGCCCGTGGACTGGACAGTTTCCTTTTCTTGTTGTTGTTGAGGCAGTGTTTCACCGTGTAGTGTAGGTTGACCTCAAACTCACAGCTGCCCTGCTTCAGCCGCCTGGGTGCTAGGATTATAGGCGTGCACCACCACACTTTTCTTCAAGACATACTAAACAACTAAAGAGACCTCAAGATCTTTAGATATGAGATGGAAAAAGGTTGGAGAAAGAATAAATTTTTTAAAAGCCAGTTGCTGGCTGGGTCTAGTGTTGCACGCCTGTAATCCTAGCACTCTGGGAGCCTGAGGCAAGAGAATCACAAGTTCAAACCCACCCTGGTCAATTTAGGCAGAACCTGTCTCAAAATAAAAGTTAAAAAAAAGAAGAAAGGTCTCGGGTGCAGTTCAGTGTAACGGTGTTGGGTTCAGTCTCCAGTACCACAAAATCAAACGGAAACAGTTGTATAGCACCGATTTTAGTACATTTATGTTCTTTTTAGAAATGTGTATCTTGATCTTATGTGCATAGGAAATACTTCAGAAGATAAAAAGAAATCCTACCCGTGGGGCCTTTGCGGGATGTAAGAGTAGAGCGGGTGCGGGGTGTCAGGAGAGGAGGGAGACTGCATATCGCACTCTCCTGCGTTATGTCACGTTGGTCTTCGCGTCTTACTGTTACGATACAGAGGGGAGAACTCTAACCTCATGAGACAGTTTTGCACCTCTCGGATATAACCTGGCATTTGGCAGTATCAAGGAATGTAATTCCGTTAGGTCTGGTGGTGATACTGTAATCTTATTTTTGCTTTTTGTTTTTGCGGTGCTAGGAATCAAACCTAGAGCTACATCCCGCCCATCCCTGCTTTTTTTTTTGGTGGTATTGGGGATCCTGGTTTTTAAAAACTGGCCCTTCACCGTTTCAGACACATAGTGAAGTGTTTGCAGGTGACATGACCTACAAACATCAGGTCTGCAAGCGAGGGGGCTCCAGGCAGGTGGCCCGCATGATCGATGCTTTTGGGGTTTCGAGCTCTTGGGGTGATGATGCTCTTGGGCTGCACTCACCCTGGGGGAGCATAGCAGAGGCGGCTATCACCGGCTGGGGGCCACCACGGTGTTGGTAATGTCCCTCACCCCAGGACCTCCCTGGGCTGAGCACCCTGCCGTGACCGTGGGCCCCAGTGCAGAGCCTCAGGGCCCAGACACACACTCAGTCACACTCACACACGTGCACGCGCACATACCGCCCTGGACCCACGTCTTACAACAATGCATTTTTAGGCCAAGGGCCGTTGTAGCACAGAAGAGATGGGACAGGCCAAAGCCTGGTTTACCTTCGAGCAGGCTTCCTGACGCCACTTTAAGTGTCCACTGCTGCTTCCGCGTTCTCGGGCTGAGTTTGCTGACCGCCCAGGTCACCCCCTTCAGTCCGGTCTCTCTGTCGCAGGCCATCACCACGGAGGGCAAGTACTGGAAGAGCCGCATCGAGATCGTGATCAGGGAGTACCACAAGTGGAGAACCTACTTCAAGAAAAGGGTATCTGCCGGCGGGGCTCCCAAAAGCGTGAGCTCCGGAAGCCCCCAGAGGGTTGGGCCGGAGCCTGGGCTCAGAGCACTGTCCCTGGAGCCTCAGCTCGGTTTCCCTGCTGCAGACAGGCCTGTCTCCGCCCCAGCCCGAGCTTGTCCTGCAGCGTGCGGAGGGCAGTGAGCAGGCTGCCCCTCCCGGCTGCCCCCAAAATGGCGAGGCCAGGGTGCGGCAGGAGGGGGGCTGGGCTTCACAGCTCCCAGGCACTCGGTGCCACCCCATCCTGCCCTCTGTCCCCAGCTCCAGCAGCACAAGGATGAGGACCTCTCCAGTCTGGCCCAGGTGAGCGGCCTGGAGCCCTGCCTGGCCGAGGAGCAGCAGTGGCTTGGGTAGTGGGGCAGGGATGGGACATTGCCCTCCCCCAGGAGGTCCTGAGTGGCTCAGGAAGCAGTGGCGCTCTCTGCTAGGGGCCTGGAGGGGGTACTGTCTCAGCATCTCCACCCTCCCGCCTCGCTGTCACGGAGCAGCCAGGTTCCACTGTGGCCCTCTGACGCCTCCTTTCCCTGGGTGGCAGGACGATGACATGCTCTACTGGCACAAGCATGGGGACGGCTGGAAGACCCCAGTCCCCATGGAGGAGGACCCGCTGCTGGACACGGACATGCTCATGTCAGAGTTCAGCGACACCCTCTTCTCCACCCTTTCTTCACACCAGCCCGTGGCCTGGCCCAACCCGCGGGAAATAGGTAACCCTGGCGGGGCCTGGGTGGCTGGCGGCTGCTGTGCCTGAGCACTGCGGGTCCGGCTTCCCCTCACGGCTGCCGCCCGCCCCTTGTCTAGGCCCGGAAGCGAGGAGGTGGGTCGGCCAACCTGAGGGCCGCCTGCATTGGGTGGGTGGGACTTCAGGTCCTGCTGCTCCTCGGTGTCACTGACGGACCACTGAGGAGGTGGGGCAGATCAGGTTCAGCTTTCAGCCCTGTCGCCTTAGTGCCTGGACCCAGGCAGCAGGGCTTGTGGCTCCGAGAAAATCAGAAGCACTCGTGGGCATGGCTGCCCCTGTGGCTTTCAGGCTTCAGTCAGCCCCCAGGGAGGACCCCACAGGTTAACAGTGGGAGCAGGAAGGGAAGTGGGGGGCGGGGTCTCCGGGGAACTCCTCCTGGCCTCCCAGGCCGGCCACTCCCTCGTGTTCGGCCGGTTGCACGCCTGTAGTCCCAGCCACTCTGGATGCTGAGGCGGGAGGGTTGCTTGAGTCCAGGAGTTCTGGGCCAGCCTGGGCAACAAAACCAGACCCCATGCCAAGCCAGCAAGCAAGCAAAAGCCGCAGGCTCCTTGCTACCTTCAGGCCCCACAGGCTGGCCGCAAACCCCTAGAAACCAGCTGCCTCAAGCTGGAGCAGGGCTGACGCCGTCCGACGGTCCGCTCTGCTCTGGCTCTTGCAGCACATCTGGGGAATGCGGACATGATCCAGCCGGGGCTGATCCCCTTGCAGCCCAACCTGGACTTCATGGACACGTTCGAGCCTTTCCAGGGTGAGGACCCGGCAGAGGCGGCTCAGCCCGCAGGAGAGCGGTTAGGAGGGGTGGGAGGGAGGGCTTAGAATTTCTCGGAACTAAACTTTTTTTGTAGTAACTTGAATATCTGGGAAACTTCCCTGGGACAGTGTCCCCTCCTGAAGGACGCTGGCATTCTCAGATCTTGCTCACCAGCTGGGAGCTGTTCTCCCTCTCAGCAGCAGGGGGCGCTGATGACACAGCCACCTCCCTGCAGTCTCCTGCAGTCGCGTCTGCCACCGACAGAGCCGCTGGAATGCAGGGCCTGGGCGTGTTTCAGAGGCACACGTGTGGCTTCCACCTGACACCTCTCTTACAGAGAGTTACTTGGGGGGTGTCCTGTGGCCAAGGCATCCCTCGGGTAGGGTAGGGTTCAGTGTCCCGTTTGTTTGGACCTTAATTCCAGGAAATGGGAGCATGTGGAGCTCAAAAGACCGCACGTGTTTTTCAGACCTCTTCTCTGCCAGCCGCTCCATCTTCGGCTCCATGCCGCCTGTGCCTGCCTCAGCGCCTGCACCGGATCCCAGCAGCCCACCTGCTCAGGTAGCGGAAGGGAACGGGCCGGGCTGTCATCACACTGCAGGTGCGGGCAGTGTGCGGGCGCGGCAGGGTCTGGCCTGAGCACGCACCATGTGTGAGAAATCAGACCGCGCTCGTCCCGAGCAGCCTTGAGCCCCGTGAGTGCGGCCGTGGGCCCCGCCGGAGGCACCCTGGGACCGTGTTTGGCCAGAGACAGCATCAGCCAGGCCGAGGCGACACCGGGTCACCAATAAAAATAAGTTCTGCGGGTTTCTTTCAGTTCTCACTTAGCAGCCAGCAGAAACTGGCACAGGTGCTGGGGCCACAGAGCAGAGTTGGGGTCCCCTGGGGAGCCCTGGTGCCCACTGAGCCCCCATGACGGAGCCCCGCTGCCCACCCCGGCTCGGGCAGGACGCGTCTCTGGAGCTGAGAGCCACACGTGTGACCTCCGGTGCTCCCTGCTTGGCGAGAAGCCGATACCGGCCCTGCCCTGGGGGACCCTGAGCAGCTGGGCCCCGGCCACCTTTCTGTGTAACAGAGACCTGGAGACGGGGGAGCCCCCTGGGGCCTGGAAACCGGATTCCCCGGGTGGCCGCGCGCCCTGGGGAGCCCCAGCCGGCTCAGCGCAGATCCCCTGGCCCCTCGGTCTCGGGCTCCCTCACTGGGCTGTGCCAGCACCGGCCCTCATCGCTGTCTCCCCTCTCAGGAGAGCATCCTGCCGGCCGCCACGCTGCCCTCCGTGAGCCTCCCCGACAGCCTCATCGCCCCCTCCGCGGGCCCCTCCCTCGAGCCCGCGGCCGGCCCGGCCTGTGACCGCACTTCGCAGGCCGGGGACCCCTTCCTGCAGCCCTCGGACTTTGCTCCCTCAGAGCCGCCACTGGGTGTCCCACAGCCCTTTCTCCCCGTTTTCCCCATGCCCTTGCTGCCCCCCAGCCCCGCCCAGGCCCCCGGCCCGCCCGTGTTACCCTCAGTGCCCCCTCCCGGCCCTGCCTTGACGCCCCCGGCGCTGCCTGCCTTCCCGCAGCTGCCGAGGTTTGCGGGGGTCAGCAAGCCCCCCCCTGTCATCACCCACACAGCCTCTGCCACCCTCACCCATGCCGCCGCCGCCACCACCTTCAGCCAGAGCCAGGGCCTCGTGATCACGGCCCACCACCCTCCGCCCTCGCCATCCCCCTGTGCCCTTGCACTGTCACCGGTCCCCCAGCCCCCAGCCGTCGGGTCTCCCCAGACTCGTCTGACTTTCGTACACCCCAAACCTGTGTCCTTGACTGGAGGGAGACCTAAGCAGCCCCTCAAAATAGTGCCTGCCCCCAAGCCTGAGCCCGTGTCCTTGGTGTTGAAGAGCACACGCCTGGCCCCAGGTGAGTCTGGGGTTCCCAGGAGGGCTGTGCCCCTGTCCCAAAGGCTGTCGGATTTGCATCCCCCCTCCCTTTAAAGGAAGCAGACATCGGTAATCCACATGTGTGATCTGTTCTGTTTTCTGTTCTGTTTCTTTGTTTTTTTTGTTTATGTTTTTGCTTTGTTTTTCTCCTATACTGGGAATCGAACTCACGACCTTGCTTTTGCCAGGCAGGCGCTATGCCGCTGAGCTAAACCCCAGCCCCTGTTATGTTTCTTTTAAAAGTTAGTCACAGCCCAGTTTGAAAACATGGTCCTGGTGTACCCTCTGGGGTCCATAATGTGTCCCCTTCAAGAAGTCACAAAGCAGAGTTTCATGGCCTGGTGGCTCTCCCTCCCTGTCCCCTGTGGGGTGGAGCAGGGTGCCCACTGACTGCCCTGGGCCCTGCCGTTTACAGCCAGGCATTTGGGTCAGGAGCGGTCTAGCCCTGCAGGCTCAGGCCTGACTGCACCCTCTCTCCACGCCTGGCAGCTGCCTTCCCAGGCCAGCCACAAGCAGTGATCATGACATCCGGCCCTCTCAAGAGAGAAGGGATGCTGGCGTCCACGGTATCCCAGCCTGGCGTGGTCATCGCCCCTGCTGCCATGCCCAGGGTGAGCGGGTACAGCGGACCTGAACTGTCCCTTTTACCCCAGTGCACTTGGGCGGCCCCCCAGTGTGACAGGTCTGCTATGCTGTGCATCAGCAGTTGGGTAACCCCTTTCCCATGGCACCTCAGGCTCCCGGAGTCACCGAATTCCACAGTGGCATCCTGGTGACAGACCTCAGCCACAGCGCGGGTGGCCAGCCGGCCCCCGTCTCCCGGCTCTTCTCCCCAGGCATGGTGCAGGACTCGCTGGTGAAGGTGGAGCAGGCCCCACTTCGAGGGGGCAGCCCGCAGGTCCCTGCCGCAGGGCCCGGTGAGTGTCTCTGCAGTCAGGGTGGGAGGGCACGCAGGGCTCCCCAGACTGCCGGACACACAGTCAGCCAGTGGTGTGGCCCGGGGTTGTGCTCATGGCAGGGTGACTGCAGCAGCACCAGAGGGCAGGCAGTGACTGCTTCTCACAGTTAGGGACCTGGTACTTGGGGAAGCCACTCTTTTTTATTTTGGTTTTTTGAGACAGGGTCTGGCTCTGTAGTACAGGCTGGCCTCGAACTCATGACAGTCTCCTGCCTCAGCCTCCCAAGAGCTAGGAGTACAGGCATGCGCCACCACGCACGGCTCTCGGGAAGCCATTCTTAACCTCTCAGTGAGGCCCAGCCTGGAGCAACCAGCTCTCATGCGGAAAGGGAGGCAGTTTCTAGAAAATGTGGGGCCCCTGTAGCCATGGGAGCTGAGCGGTTTCCAGCGTGTGGTGCACGATGGCCCCGGCTGCAGAGACAGGCAGGTGCACTGATTTTGCCCAGAGGCAGCTGCAGGGGCGGTGGACAGAGGGGGCGGGCAGGAGAGAGAGAGACAGAGAGGACCCTCTGGTCTGCACTGATGCCTCGGTGCAGTCCCTGCAGGAAGCCAGGGAGAGGTCTGGGCAACCTGGCTGGTCTCAGTGTGGCCAAACGTGGCTTCACAGCTGCGCTGTGAGGGCTGACGGACTTTGGGGCAAAAGTCCGGTAGAGGTTTTGCAACAGGGAAGTGGGCCTCTCAGCGACTCGGGTTAACAGGCCTGAGGAGGTCCGGGGCTGCTCTGTCGCGGCCTGTGTGGGTGTCTCGGTTACTTTTCTCTCATTGCTGGGACAAAATACCTGATGCCTAAAATGAAGGAAGGAAAAGTTTATTTCGCTTACAGTTTGTGGAGGTTTCAGTCCATACTTGGCAGATTACAAGGCAGACTGGCACATGGCAGAGGGCTACAGCTCCTGGTGCAGAACACAGCAAAAGAAACAAGCACACACCAGGGCGGAATTGGGGAGGAATGGCGGAGGAGGACTGGCCTCAGGCACTCTTTTCCTCTCCCTTACATATGCAAATTATCCACCCCAGGCAGGTGCAGCTCTCACACCCATAATTAAACTCTAATAGCCTGCCCCATGGCTGCATGAGGCTTTGGGGGGACACACAGACAAACCATAACAGTGGGTCAGAGGGCAGTGGTGTTTTTAATGAAAAGTGTCAGGGAGTGGGTAGGACAGACGTGTGAGAGACTAGTGCAGGGCTGACAGAACAACAGAGGCCAGCGCGCCCAGCGCAAGAGCAGGAACCTCCGGTGACACCCTCGGGCCTCTCTGACCTGGGATGGCTGAACCCTGCCGCTGCCGCTGCCGCTGCCGCTGCCGCTGCCGCTGCCTCTGCCTCGTGTCTGACAGCTGTACTGTGTGTCGCATCCCTTTGGGGTCGGGGCCCTGGGGTGGGATCAGAGGTTAAAAACGTGCTTCCGAGTCCCACCCCTGCAGGGCCCCATCCGTGCGGGCCACTGGACAGCCCCACTTCCTGCCTGTCGCTCACCTACAACGGCCCCCTCTTCCCCTCAGGTCGCGATGGCCCGAACTCAGGCCAGGCCTCTCCGTGTGCATCGGAGCAAAGCCCCAGTCCTCAGTCTCCCCAGAACAACTGCTCAGGGAAATCCACAAACCCCAAAAACATGGCTGCACTAAAGGTATGACAGGGCTCTCAGCTGGATCAGAGTCGGAAGAGAGGTCAGAGGACCTCTGGGGCAGCTGCGTTCTCTGCAGGGGTGGGCAGAGCTGGCCATTGACATGCAGCCTGGAGCGGCAGCCGCCGGGATGTCAGACCGGCCCTTGCCGGCCGTCTCAGCGGGCTGCACCCGGTGACGAGGGTCTGCCGCACTGCATCCTCAAAGCCCTCCGCCACCACCTGGGGCAGGGAGGAAGTGGGAGCTGGTACCCGGAGTCGCAGGGGAGGCGGAGGCCAGCGAGGGAAGGACAGAGCAGGCAGCGTCCCTAGCCAGCCCCCAGCCCCACCTCCACTTCCCATTAGAGCCTTTTAGCATTTTATTTTTTATTTTGTGGTGCCAGGAATGGAATCCAGGGCCTCGCACACGCCAGGCAAGCGTTCTACCACTGAGCTACGTCCCCAGCCCTTTCTGTTTTTTGAGACAGGGTCTCTAAGTTGTTCAGGCTGGTCTCAAATCTGGAATCCTCCTGCCACTGCATCAGTTCTTTTTAGCTCTTACTGTCTCCTCCTCCCTTGCCCCGCAGCCCGCCTGCCCCGTACCCGAGGGCCGGGCTGCCGCAGTGGCTTCAGGCTGGGCGGGGAGGAGAGAAGTGGAGGGCCGGGGGCCTCGCCTTTGTCCCCCGCCTTTCCCCTGGTGACCGGTCGGTTCCCCAACAGAACCAGCAGCTGAAGCACATCTCAGCTGAGCAGAAGCGACGCTTTAACATCAAGATGGGCTTCAGCACCCTCAATAGTCTGATCTCCAACAACTCCAAGCCGGTGAGCCGCCCGAGGTGTCAGCGTGGCGACGGGCCGGTGCCGCCCGGGCCGCGCTGAGCTGCCTGTCCCCGCAGAGCAGCCACGCCATCACACTGCAGAAGACCATGGAGTACATCGCCAAGCTGCAGCAGGAGCGGGGCCAGATGCAGGAGGAGGCCCGGCGGCTGCGGGAGGAGATCGAGGAGCTCAACGCCACCATCATGTGAGGCCGTGTCCCAGAGCGGGGGACCCTCCATGCCACGTGCCCTGCTCCCCACAGCCTCTCTGCCCGTGCCCGGCGCCAACCCCGCCACTGGCCAGTCCTGCCGTCGGTGCCCCGGCTCCTGCTCTGCCCTCGACTGCCCAGTCTCACCCCTGACTCCCTGTGTTGTTTCAGCTCCTGCCAGAAGCTCCTTCCCGCCACCGGGGTCTCCGTCACCCCGCGCCAGGTCGATCACTTGAGAGACATGTTCGAGGAATACGTGAAGAGCCGGACCCTGCAGAACTGGAAGTTCTGGATTGTATCTTTGCGGTGCCCTTGCCCCTCCCTCTCAGGCAGTGCCCGGGAACAGTGGACAGATGGTCCTCACGTGGTCGTCCCGGTCCATCGGGACAGACAGGGCGGCCTCTGTCTCAGAGAGCGGCTCTGGCTGGGCTCTGCGGGTTGGCTGTGGTTGGCGGCTGTGCCCGCTGGGGCTTCGCAGGCACTTCGCAGGAGCAGCCAGGGAGGCCAAGTGGCAGGTGGTGCCAGAGCCGCAGCAGAGCCAGCTGGGTGGGAGGAGAGGGTCCTACAGCTCGTCAGCTGGTCCAGGCGCCCTGCAGCAGGAGGGTGACCTGCCCTGGGACAGGCAGAAAGCGAGGTACACACAACTGCAGGGGCCCGTTCTCTCCAGAGCCACCAGCTGCTGCCCGGCCTTTGGTGTCGTGACAGCCTTCCAGGGTAGCACGGCCTTTGCAGAGAGCGCCCGCCATGGCGGTGCCCGCTCAGCCTCCAGCACTCCAGGCACGCGGCAGGTTGACCACAGCAGGCACTCGGTGGGAGGCACAGCTGCAGTGTCCGGCGGAGCGGGGTGCCCTGCGCCCGTGTCCTGCGGGTGGCACATTCCTCATCTCCAGGCTGAGTAGGGGTGAGGACAACGAAGTCCGAGAAGCCCAGGGCGAGCCTGCACTACCTCCTGAGGTGACTGAGCCCTGCTCCGGCCTTGGGGACTCCAGGCATAGCTGCAGTAACAAGAAACACAAATGCCACCTCCAGGTGGCTTCTCCTTTGGGCCTGCATGTGCCCCGGTGTCACATAAAAACGTGCGCACGCCATTTGCAGACATGTTCCAGACAGACGCCGGTCCCAGGTGGAGCACAGCGTCTGGCCGCACAGAGGACTCCCCGGCCTAGGGAGGGAGGACCCTCCCCACCCATCCCCGGGGCCCAGCCCTGGGCGAGTGCCCCGTGCTCTGCCCCCGCTTCCTTAACCAAGGCCCGCAGTTTAGCATCATCATCAAGCCGCTCTTCGAGTCCTTCAAGGGCATGGTGTCCACCAGCAGCCTGGAGGAGCTGCACCACACGGCGCTGTCCTGGCTGGACCAGCACTGCTCCCTGCCGGTCCTCAGGCCGAGTGAGTTGGGGGCTGGGCCGGGGGGAGGGAGCCTTTCGGGGAGACGGCACTCAGGGACCCAGACTGGCGGTGCAGGAGTCCCTGGGCCGGAGCACCACAGTGGGGGCAGTGCAGGGCCCTGGGCTCCCTGCCACGTGCCCGCCATCGGGTCAGATCCCACCTCAGCGAGCGCCTGTAGTTTGCAGGCCCGGTTTCTGGATCTGTCACGGATCCGTTCTGATCAGGTCCCATTCCCAAAGAGCAGGGCTAGTAAATGAGGGGCGCGAGCCCTGAGGCAGCAGCGGCCGGGTGGAGCCCTGGGTGTGGGGAGAGCCCAGGTTCCTGCCGAGGGCCGCCCTGCACCTGGGCGCTGTGGCTGGCACACCCTGGTGGGGCTGTGTCACTGCCCGCCCTCCGTGTCCCTGCCGGCCCCACTGACCGCCCTGTGTCCTGCAGTGGTGCTGAGCACCCTCCGGCAGCTGAGCACCACCACCTCCATCCTGACGGACCCGTCCCAGCTGCCGGAGCAGGCGTCCGAGGCTGTCACCAGGGGTGGCCCGCGATCGGGGGAGTCCTAGCTGTGTGGCTGGTACGCGGCCGCGAGAGGCTCGAGAGCCCCCTTCCCGACGCCCAGCCTCAGGTCTCCTCACCTCGTGGCTGCAAGCTGTCGGGATCCACACTCAGGTCTGAAGTGGGCCGAAGCCTGCCTGCAGCAGCGGCCTCCACGGGGCCCCCCTGTGACCTCACGCAGCGACCTCAGCCGCCGCCCTCCCTCCCTGCAGGGAAGTGTGGCCCTGTTCTGTCCTGCTGGTGGCCTGTGGGGCCAGGCCAGGGAGGGAGCTATGGGACAGAGAAAGAGCCTGCTCCTGCGGGCGGGACATCCGGGGTCCCTCTCAGTCCCGTTCTGAGACTCACAAACTTGTCCCTGTCACGTCTGTATCCTCCGGGCCCGCCTGGTGCCACTGCACACGCTCTGGCTCTGAGGGCCAACTGGAGACGTCTTCCACACTCCCAGGCCCAACAGCGCAACTGCGGGGGACCTGGACCCCTGGCTCGGCCTCGCCAGAGCCGCAGGGCCGAGCCTCCCGTCAGCCCCCGGCACTCGCCCCTCCCCTGGAGCGGAAGGTGCGTCCGCCTGCCTGCGCGCCTTCCCGGCCGGCTTGCTGCTGCGCTTTACCCCAGCTGGTGCTGCCTGGCCGCGGCGCAGGCCGCCTCCTCCCTCCCCGCAGAGGCCCCGTAGCCCTGGCCCCACGCGGCAGCCGTGGGAAGGACAGCCTGCTCTGGGGGCAGGCCCGCCTCGGTCCTGGCCTGGAAGGTCACACTCCGTGCTGCCACTGCCGGCCTGGTTGCCTCATCCGTTTCCTCCAGCGGGAGCCCCAGACCGAGGCCTGGGTTTTCGGATCAGAGATGCCACCGCGCTGACAGGCAGGACCTCAGGCACCCAGGTCAGACGGTGCAGCCTGCACTGGGGACAGCCTGGGCGTGCACGCCACAGGGGGCGCAGAAAGGGCAGGAGGACCTGCTCGCCCTGGCCGCTTTCGCCCGTCGCTGCAGGTGGCAGGTGCACGCTCTGCACTCAGGGAGCCCAGCCAAGGGCGCCTCCTCCGTCCTGCTGTGACGGCCCCAGCAGCCGGCCAGCTTGCCTCCACTCGCCGTGGCCTCGCCACCTCTCGGCGCCTCCTGCCTGAGCTCAGCATCCTGAGGGAGCCGTGTGAAGAGGGGCCCAGGCTGCCCAGAGCTCCGGTCCAGAGCCCCACTGGCTCGGGAGGCCCCAGCGCTGAGGCCTGCGTGGGCTGCCGGCTCCCCCGCACCCTGCTGATGGAGAACAGGAAGGCAGGGTGGCATCCCCGGGCCACCAGCAGTGCCACCATGTCCACCTTGGCCCGTCTCCACTTCTGCCCCATGTGGGAGCAGCTTGGTGGCACCCCTCAGCCACCCCTAAACGTGTTTACAGGCTGAGGGGTGCACACGGTGTGGGCCCTGGGAAATGGCCGTAGAGTGGATCCCTTACCCCGGGACGAACGTGAAGCCCCCTTTCAGCAGGTCAAGGCCACTGTGATCAGAGAGGCCCAGTAGGGTGAGAAGGAAAACCAAATGTCGCTGAGGGCCTGAGGCCAGGGCTTCCCACCCCTGTGCCTTGTGACGTGCAGACGACGCGGCAGCCACTGGCCAGGGCTCTCCTGACGATGGCTTTCTCCCTGCCTCGCGTGGAGAGACTGTTGCTTAAACTCCATGGGATATAAAATTGGCCTGTTGCTTCTTTGGCCTACCTCTCCCTTTTGCTGATTAATGTTTGTGGTTCTGTTTTCCTCAGACATTTAAGGCGGTAGGCTGTGTGAGACGTGTGTGCGTGTGTGTGTGTGTGCGTGTCCATCCTGGCAGGCTGACATGGCATGTTTTTGTTTTTGAGATCGACTTTGATTCATTTCTCTTGGTGCTTACGGCCGCCGCGGCAGTGGGAAACCACAGCACGTCTGCCCCGCACGCGATCACTGCTTGCCTGCCTCGACCTCTGTCCTGGGCTCCCGGGTCAGCGTCCAGGAGCAGCAGGTCACTGCGCTGCTGCCCTGCCGTGGGCGCTGAGCCGCACCGTGCCTGGTCCGTTTACACGCATTTCACCCGCCCTTGCCCCCTTGCACACATGCAGCGGGCGCTGCCCCACGGGTGACAAGAGCTCGGCCTGGAGGACAGGAGTTGGGCCCTGAGTAGAGAGCTCCGTGCTTCTGTGAAATCTCAGGGGCAATCAGCACCCTGCTGCTCTTTCACTATGAGTGCGCGGCCGTGTGGTACCGGGCTGCGTTTCTTTCCGGGCTTTCTGAGAGGTGGGGCAGAGAAGCTGTGCAGTCTCAGGAGTCGGTGCTGACCATGTGCTGGGCTCTGTGCTGGCCAGCGGAGCCCTCGCCCTGCCTGTGTCCCCGGCACCCACGGGGTGGGCTGGGCACCCCTCAGTGACCGCCCCATCCTCGTCCCTGTGCCTGGGGCCTGACCCACCCTCCCAGGGCTCCACGCTGACAGTTTCTTGCTCTGGCCGAGAGAGATGTCCATTTGGACTCAGAGCACATGGCACTGCAACCCCGGGCAGTGCCCGTGCTGGTCCCTGCCAGGGCAGGAGGGTGGTGCCAGGCTGGGCCCGCCTCACCAGCGGCTCCGCAGCTGGGGGCACATCGCCCCAGCCCGGCTGGGCCTGCTGCGCTGGCTGTGACGTGGGCACCCGGGGACGTCCGCTCCTCATTCACGCCCCCGTCTTTTGTCCTCATCGGGTCCTTGAAGGGCTCCATCCTTCAGCCGAGGCCTCACCTCCTCCCCAGTGCCTTTCCTGAGACAGTGGCACCCAGGGAGCCCTGGCACAGCCCGAGCTACGTGCCAGGTTTCCTGCTGGGCGATGCTGACGCGGCAGCAGCTCGGCCGTGCACAGAGGGATGAGGCCGTGGCTCTTTGCCACCTCGCAGGGTTTCCCAGGACGTTCGGCGTGTGCTGGCGAGTGTGAGGGAGCGGGAACGTTGGGTCTCAGCGGGGCAGCCTGCGTGTGCAGCAGTGACACTGATGCTGGTCCTGGTGTGGGCACTGGGATCGTGGCCACCTTAGGTGCAGACGGATGGCAGGCGCCAGGGACACAGGAGAGGCCTCGGGACACAACCTGGGCCTGCTTCCTCCAGGGCCTGGCGGCGGGCAGGGGCCTGTCCACCGCCGCCGATGTCCCGCTCTGCACCCCACTGCTCGTCCTGCTCGGGAAGCCCGGCACTCCAGAGAAAAGGGAGCTTCTCACGTTGAATGTTGACCTGTACGTGTGCACAGCCATGAGCCTGTGTATGTGTTCAAGAGATTTTATTTTTATAAAGTTCTTTTCTGCGTATTTCGCAAAATCCACCGCCATCCCCCTGGCAGATTTGAGTTCCGCAGTGGTGACCCTGAGCCCGGCGGAGCCACAGTTTCCTGCAGGGCTTCCGGCACGGCTCGGCGTGCTGGAGCACTGACGGCGGCAGGCTGGGAGACACAGGCGTTTTACACGCTTCTGTCACTTACGTTGAGGGGTGCAGTCCAGGGGAGGTCCTGAGGGCAGGCTGGGCGAGCGCGCCTGTCGCTGGTCTGAGACGCCGCCGCCGACCAGTGTGTTCTCCTTTTCGGGTGCGGGTGTGCGCACATGGCTACTTCGTCCTGTTGTAAGCTTTGGTGAGTGGGACTCCTTCGGTGACACTTGGAGGTCCGGAAACCAAACGGAAGGGTTGGCTGTGAGCCGAGGCCCCCAGCATGTGTCGCCCAGCATGGCCCCTGTCACACTGCTTTTGGGAAGCAGGTCGCCACCAGCTGGACTCAACACTGTAATGCGTTTTTAAAACTATATTTGCATCCAAGACAATAAAATCTTATTTTTTGGAAAAGCCTGTGCTGTGTGGCCTTCGGCGCCGCCCACCACGCTGTGGGAGAGATGGGGAGGGCACGGGACCCAAGCCGAGTGGCACCGTCCTGGCCGATCCCCGCCAGCCTCGGGACCAGAGCCAGCCCTGAGCCGAGGCATCTGGAGGACAGTGTCACAAGGAGCGGACGTGACGAGCGCTGCGCATGCGCTTGGTGTCCGGGTGCTTGGTGACCCGAGAAGCTTGTGATGGCCCCAAGTCTCCTGGCTGACGTTGACCCAATCCGTTTTTTTTTTTTTTTTTTTTTGAGACAAGGTCTTGCTACATAGTACAGGCTGGCCTTGAACTCATGCTGATCCTCCTGCCTCAGCCTCCTGAGTGTGAGGATTACAGTTGTGCGCCACCACGCCCAGTGACCCAATCCTTAGAAACACACAGGGCTGTTCCTTTGTCCTGATATTGAGAAGGCTCCTCACCCCGTCCATTAAAGCTTCTTATCTTCCAGCAGCGTCTTCCTGTGCCCTGAGCCTGCCCGCCTGGCTCCTGGCACCTGGACAAGGTGACGAATGAGAGGAGCCCGGCCCGGGCAAGCTGCTGGCCAGGCTCATGGGACAGCAGCCCCCTGGGAAGAAGCCATCGTGACAGTGAGCCCGGGCCTCAGAAGTGGGTCTGCGGGGACGAGGAAGGACGCGTTTCCACGGAGCTTGGCAGCAGGCTCTGAGGCAGCTTGCCGTCACACATACAAATTAGGCGCCCTCGGGAAGAACTGGAGGGGAAGGGGCCGGTGGGGAGGCCCTGTCCCTCAGTGCTTCTGACATAGCTCGGGTTCCTCTTGCAGAGGAAGAATCCAGGTTGTTTCTGAAATAACAAGCTCCATGGGTCAGAGAAGACAAAAAAGGCCTTTTAGTTGGTGGTGTTTTAGTTTGGTGCAATCGTCTTGCCTCAGCCTCCCAGTGCTGGGATTACAGGCGTGCACCGCCACGTCTGGCATGTGGGCTAGATCTATAGACCACAGTTTTCCTTTTTTGGTGGCTATCTTCTGCAGGTCTGGATTTAAATTTAGATTTGTAGAGGGTGGAGTGCTCATACTTGTCCTTTATTTTTTCCTTATCCCAAAAGCTAATAAACATGGTTTTTGTTTTTGTCTTTTTGAGACAGGGTCTTGCTTTGCAGTTCAGGCTAGCCTTGAACTCACTTTGTAGCCGAGCCTGGCCTGGAACTCACAGTGGTCCTCCTGCCTCAGCCTTCCGAGTGCTGGAATTACAGGCGTGCTTCACCATGCTCAGGACTGGTACCAGCTGGGTTTTCTGTGCTCCTCATCGGCAGCTCCATTTTTTCAGAGCAGAGCTCAGCTCTGTGTGGGTTTCACCTGCTCAGAGCCGGGTGCTCTTCGACACCATCTCAGGGCTGCATCACCGCCTGCGGTTCGGTCACCGTGAGGCTCCTGGAGGCCTTATGGGCAACTGCAAAGTAACAGCAGGAGCAGAGCGGGGCCTGTGCGTAGTGGTTGATCAGATTTTCTGTTTAGCTAAATCATGAACTAGAAAGCCCGGTAGTTTAGAAGGGGAAAGCAGTGTAAGATAAGAGTACTTTCCTGCCTCAGCCTAATCTCTTCATCTCGCTGACTGATTCTAGCTCCTGGGGAAGACACCCGGCAGGGCAGGACTGGTCGGTTCCGTTACATCTTGTATGGGGGGTGGCGGGTGAGCCGCCAGGTCCCTACCTGCCCTCCACGCTGATCCCAGCCTGTTGTGTCCTGAGTCCCCAAGGCCCCCCGTCAGTGGGATGGAAGCGGGCGCTGTGGGACCCTGTGGGAAGTGGGTAGAGGTCAGCGTGCCTGAGGGCAGGTGGCGCTTGGGCCGGGAGCCAGCAGGACAGGCACAGCGGGCCAGGGAAGGAGGGGTGTGGGCGAAAAAGCGCTTGGCGAAGGCGTGTCGAGGAGGGGGCCCTCGCCCGACCCCACGCCTCCGGCCCTCGCCTTTCCTGGAAGCCGTCCGGGGACTCGGGGCTTTCCTCCGTTATCTCTCCGCTCTGCTCATTTCTCCCTCCGCCGACTCAGCCCCCTCGGTTTCCTTCTGGGACCTCACCTGCTCACCCCGCTGTGACCGTCACTGTCCCCTGCCAGACACCTGCTGGTGCCCAGCCGCTCTGCACCCGATGGCGCTCGGAGCCTCCTGCCCGGCCTCCACCAGTGCCCGGAGAGCTCTGCCAGCAGCCAGACCAGGCCTCCTGCCCGGGCCACGCCTGCTCCCGGTCCCTGCTGCTGCGGCGGCTGCCCCCGTTGTCACGCAGCCTGGTCTGGAGGTCGCTTGCCGTGGGCTGTGGCCCACCCACGGGCCCCATGTGGTGACACTTGTGTCTCCCTGCAGACCGTGACCCTGGAGTGTGAAGTCAGCAGCAGACCCAGCCCAGTGCCACTGTCCAACAACTTCACAGCATTAGCTTGTGATCAAAACAGTCCCAAAGAAAAAATCCAAGTGCAAGGGGAAAGGATGAGGCTTGGAGGCACAAGCACCTGCCCGGCAAGCCCAAGGTCCTGAGTGTGATTCCCGGTACCAAAAAATAAAACAAAAACCCCCACTGTTTAAAATGCAAGGGCATGGTTGTGCAAACCTTTAATCCCAGCTACTCAGGAGGCTGAGGCAGGAGGACTGCGCATCCAGGCTAGTCTGGGCAATTTAGCAAGATCCTGTCTCCAAATAAAAACTTTAAAAAAATAAAAAAAATTTAAAAATTAAAAAATAAATAAAAAATTTTAAAAGGCCTTGCAGTGTAGCTCAATAGTAGAGTACCCTTGAATTCCATCCCCCGTACTGAAAAAAAAGGTAAAAAAGTGAAGTTCCACCAATTCACAGAGAAGAGGAAAACCAATAGTGGAGAACCAAAGGTTTCTTTGTTTCAGAGGGAATTTGCTAAGATAGAGCAGATTAT